TGGGAGTGATGTTCTTGGTTCATTCAGAGCAGCACGTAGGTACCCACGTTACTAAACAGATGGCTTTTGCTGGTAAGCCTTGTCTCTCTTCAACTGCTTGGATCTTGCTGTCACGTTAGGCACTTTAATAAATATGCTTAAAACCTCATTTTGTTACATCAAGAGTAGTCTGCATGCAGCTGTCTTCAATTCATTTAAACCTACAGCTCAGTAATCCAGGAATATGACAGAGATGTTGATGGGTGATGACTGCTGGGGAGTCTGGGTAACCTCAGTCTAGCTTTGGATGGCATCTCTTCAGCTTTGAGTAATGACTGGACTACACTTCTACCAACTGCATCAAAACTGGCACTGGAAATAAAACAGAGTGGAAAAAAAGTTAGGAACTGGTTGGCTTTCATGCTTACTTACGTATGTTCCTTAGTTTAAAGCGTGGTCCTGAGATTCCTTCCCATTCACTGATGTTTTCCTCTCTTCAGAATGTGTTCAACATGGTTGTGGAAGTACCTCGATGGACAAACGCTAAAATGGAGGTAATCTGACAGTTCCTAGCTTGAGTGCTTGGAGCTGACCGGTCTATTAATGTTTGGCTTTGCTCATTCTCTCCCCCTCAGCTCCATGTCCAGAAGTGGGGTGGTCTAGCAGTGGTGGCTCCATAAATGGCAAGAAAATAATTCAGCCCAAATAAATCAGGCCTTCCAAAACCTGCTGTACTCTGGGCATCATGTCAAGGGACCTCTCTAGACACAGTCCTAGTTCCTCATGTAACTCCTCGCTTAATGCTGGAGGTCTAGCATGGAGGCTGAGACCCACAGAAGTTGGAAGAACTTTGTGTTGTCCTGTGGTCTCTGATTTAAATTGATGTCTTACAGCTTGCAGGCCCGTAGGGGTCTGACGTCTGTAAGTGCTGAAATTGGTGTCCCAGCAGATGGCAATGCAACAAGAAATGGAGTTGTCCAGTATCTGCTGTGTGCCTCAGGGTCAGCTCCTGATCTCTTGCCTTGCTGGTTAGCAGCCAGCTTTGTTAAAATAGTCACTTGGTTTTTCTTCGAGAGCAAAGATTATGTAACTTTTCTTTCAGATTGCAACAAAGGATCCCTTAAACCCAATTAAACAAGATGTGAAGAAAGGAAAACTGCGCTACGTAGCCAACGTGTTCCCCCATAAGGGTTACATCTGGAATTACGGTGCTATCCCTCAGGTACTGTAACTTGTTTTGGTGCCTCATCCTTTCTAATGGGGAGGAGAGAGGATGCCTGCCTCTGTGAAGGAGTAAATGTTCAGCTGTGAGTCTGATCTGGACCACAAGAGAGCAAGTTTTCTACTTTTAAGTAGAAATCTCAAGGAGTAGGCTTGTACCTAACGCTGTGAACAAATTGTTGGAAAATTTAAGGATGAGAAGCTGCTGCTGGTAAGGTACCTGGCCTGCAGGCCCAAATCTTTATAGAAGATTCTCCTTCCAGTGAATTAGGTGGTTGTTGTTTCAGACTTTGGATGGGGATAACGAAAATGTGACTTGATCTGAAGACTGTATCTGTCCCGTTTCTGTCGCTCTCATGGTTCAGGGTCTAAAGCACAGAGCTAGGCCAAGGGATTGACCTGGTCTAGTCAGGTCTAGATGGTGGTAGGTGCCCTGATCTCAGTGTTGGCCCCAAGAAAGGCGCTTGGCAGTCCTGAGGCATGCGTCCCTGAAACAGCTGGCGAGGTGGGACAACAGGCAGTGACACCTGGACACGTGCTCTTACCTGGCTGGTGACTCTGAGACAAAGAGGAACCTTGAGCAAGGCTGTTTGCCTCCAATGTTCTCTAAGGTTTCAGTTTCCTTTAGAGAAATAAATTGTCAGTGACAGGTCCCAGGGAAACTGGGATAGATTCTGGAGCCAGTTTGTTTGTTTACAGACTCACAGCTCTTGAAGCCTTCCCTCAATCATGTGTTAGCGAGTCAAAGATATTTCTGCATAAAGGGCAAGGGACCAGACTTAACACTTCCTTGTAGGGAAGTGCAGTAGTGGCTGTGAGGAGTCCTTCAGCACCACCCAGGTTTCAGTACATCTATCTCCCTGAATGCTCTGGAGGCATCACAAAGTCATGTCCTGGCAGGCAGAGATTTGGGAAGAGCATTCCCTTTTTTATATCTCAAAAGTCTTGAGCGTGATGAGACACTAGCCCTGAGAGGTGGTCAAAGCCTCATCCCTGGAGCCATTCCAGGTGAGGTTGGATGGGGCTCTGAGCAACCTGCTCTAGTTGCAGATGTCCCTGCTCAGTGCAGTGTGGGTGGACTAGATGGCATTTAAAGGTCTCTTCAAACCCAAACCATTCTGTGAACCTTAGAGATAGATGCTCCTTATGACACAAGTGGGCACAGTGTCTTAATCAGAGGTGTGTTTTGAGCAGCTATTAATTTTGGAGGTATAGCTCAAATGCCTTCTGGAGTCCTGTCTTCCAGCTTGTGCTCACTGCTTTAGGTGAGACACACAAGGACACTGGGCCCAAGTATGGGCCTCGTTATTCTTGTCACTGCTCCAGTGTAACAGTGTGTCTTTAATCATTCAATTAAAAGGAAACAATACACCCTGTCTGTCTTCCATCTCTGTTGAACTTCTGTCTGGAGTTCAGGAAGCTTCTGTTAAGAAAAGAATAAGGAGAGGAACAGGCAGGCAGCCAAATCCATGAGTGTTCTTTATAGATGTGAACTTCACCTTTCTGCAGCTGGGCAACGGAGGAGGAAGTCCGGAGAGCTGTTGAAAAAAGGTTTCTCTCTGGGGAGGGAGCAGCTCACCCTTGGTGAGATAAGAGCTTTTCACTTGGATCCAAACCACCTTTGCAGGCACAAATAGTAGTAGCCCAACTGCTAGACCTTAAAGCACACATGAAGTGAGCCACCATCTGTATCGAGGAGGCAATCGCAGGCCTGAGGTAATAAACCTGCTTTTTGTTGTTTCTCTTGAAACCTGACAGTTCTTATGTGCTTGTGTGTGGATTATTTTGCAGACTTGGGAAGACCCAGGTCACAAAGATGAAAACACTGGCTGCTGTGGAGATAACGATCCAATTGATGTGTGTGAAATTGGAAGCAAGGTAAAGCTCTCTAAAGGGTAACTGTCTTTGGAAACGTGTAATTAACATCTCTGAAGTCAATTACGCAGAGGCATTACTCACTTCCTACCTCCTCTGCTGTAAGAACATAACATTTCCCTCCTCTGCCTCTGGAGATTGTTGATGAGATCTTGCAGAGCCAGCTGATCCCGTGGCAGCTTGCACGGTCTCCTGTTGTGCATTCCTGGGATGCAGCAGGACAGGCAGCGAGATCTTTGTCCTCACAGGTCTGCTCTCGAGGAGAAGTCATCAAGGTGAAGGTGCTGGGCACGCTGGCACTGATTGATGAGGGGGAGACAGACTGGAAGGTGATTGCTATCAACGTTGAAGACCCTGAAGCAGATAACTATAACGGTAAGTAATGGGAGGGAGGAGCCATTGTGCTTACACAGAAGGGCAACAAAGCTGGGG